CTGGCCAGAGATGAGGCGTAGTAGATGGGGATGTCGTGGAGCTCTGGGTGGTTCTGCCAGTACTCATCTTTTCATACACACACACAGAGTACAATTAGTACACATAGGTTTCAGAGATTTTGTTTTGACCACACAAAGAATCATTTACTTTGATTAAAAGTTTGTTCTTGGTCTTGAAATCAGACTCGTCTCTACTGAGGGTCCATTGTGTCGCTGTTCTGGAGCTTTTGATCAAATCATTCCGTCTCTCTCAGCAGATGGAGTTTTGCTCACTAGTTGTGGAACTGTAGACGTTTAAATTTCCATTCTCCTGAGCACTCCAAGAGCTGCTGAGTTAAAGGGTAAAAATTCTGTATTTTTTAAGCCTGGACTCTATTTTACCATGTTATAGCCCCGTTTCCACCGAGCAGTTCAGTTCAGTTCAGTACAGTTCAAAGTTTCTGTTTCCACAGTGAAAGTTGTGGATGGTACCAACAGAACCGTTCCTTACCGTCCCCATTTTTGGTCCCCCCTCTGTTGGGGTACCCAGCACACAGATCTGGTACTAAAAGGTGGAGCTGTGAACACTGCAGTCTGATTGGTCAGTAGAGGGCGGTCACTCTGGTTTTATGTAACCTCTGTTCATACATCACGTCTCACCCAGAATGAGCAACAGCTCTTGAGCTCGACCCAGAGCGAAGACGGGGATCAGACAGCGACCCTCCCTGTTCACGATGTCGTGGACCGTGTTACAGAAGCGAGCTTCCCTCTCCTCGCGCTTCTCGTGGATGTGAGTCCCGTACGTCGACTCCTGATAGACGGACACACAGGCAGGCAGACAGAGTGACATGCTGGATTTAGATGTAGTGTTTAAATTAAATTTAAACTGATGATGTTAGGAGTGAATGTCAGCAGCTGCACTCACAGTGATGAGGATGTCTGGTTTGACGCTGGGGATCTCTGCTGCCATCAGATGTCGATCCTCCTGACGAGAGAAATCTCCTGTGTACAACAGCTACACACACACAGAGGACGTTAGCACATGTGACACCACAAAGATACAAGATGTAAAATCCGATCTAAAAGCTGGGGGGGACTCAGGGACTGAGCAGGACGCACCTTGACTCCGGCGATCTCGATCATGAACATGGCGGCTCCGAGGACGTGGCCGGCGTGGTAACACCAGAACTTGATGCCGGCTACTTCCTTCACCTCGTGGAAGTTGATGGTCTCGATCTTCTCCATGCTCTCCTCCAGGTCTGTCTCTGAGTACAGCATGTCGTCTGCCGAGATGTTACTGCAACCAACACCACAGCGCTGCTTTACTGCACACTGACATACTATGTTTGACACAGTCCTACCTGACTTTGACGCATTCCTTCCTGACTTTGATGCACTTCCACCTGACTTTGACACAGTCCTACCTGACTTTGACACAGTCCTACCTGACTTTGACGTAGTCGGACAGCAGCCAGCGGTAGATGGCCTTGGTGGCGTGCGTCATGAAAGTGCGTCCTTTAAAGCTGGTCTTCTGTAGGAACCAGGGCAAAGCGCCACAGTGATCCAGGTGGAAGCTGAGAGGGACGAGAGGACAACATGTCTGTTACTAAGCAGCATCCAGGTCCAACATCAACCCTGATCTTCATGGTGTCTCCCCTTAACAATCAAACCTCTGCACCACATCGTCTCATTTGTCATCATCATACTGTCAGCAAACAAGTCATCTTCTCTGATGTTAAACCTGGAGTAAGTTTGGGTTTTAATTTTGTTTCTTTATACAACCAAATATCCTCCAGTGTTTTTAAACCCTCAAACATCAGTATCAGAATCTGCAGGACTGTCAGACAGTCTGAGAAATGATCATATGACCTGTCAGTTTGTTGTCTCAGAGACCTGACAGTGTATCAATGTGTGTGTGTGTGTGTGTGTGTGTGTGTGTGTGTGTGTGTGTGTGTGAGTTCTCTGGTTTCTGTGATGATGAATTATATTTTCTGAACTCACTGGCTGATGAGCAGCAGGTCGATCTCGGCCGGATCGATCAGGTCAATGAACGGCAGAGCATCCATTCCCTCCAGACCAGGATGGATCCCACAGTCCAACTAAAACCACAACACACACGCACACGTTTTTACTCGACTCACACACACATGTTAAAGTTCTCAGCTGATGTGATGAAACATACCATAATCTTTCGTCCCTTGAACTCCAGGATGATGCAGGATCGTCCCACCTCCTGTCCTGCTCCTCTGGACACAAACACACACAGAGACGTCGTCACTTTGATGTACAACCAACATCCTGAATCCAGGAGTTAAAACTGTTTCCATGGTAACATTAAGTAACTAAACTCAGCCTCAACACCTCAGAACAAATAACTGGAGGATTTGCTGCCGCCATGCAGCTCTGCCCCAGATGCACTCTTGCCCTCCAAAGAAAATAAAGCCAAACTCTAATAAGAAAATATTCGATTCTGAAACACGTGGTAGGCTGCATGAGCAAGGCATGCCAAATGAGTATTAGCAGCTAATTACATAAGTTTAAAACCTTGTTTAAGTTATGTAGCTTTATTTCTATTTATTGGTAGGGTTAAAAGTCTTAATAGGTCAAGCTTTATATTTTTATTCGCTAAATTAGCCTATGTATGAAAGGAGTTTGGTCTACGGGCAGCAGACAGACGATAACTGTTTACAATCAGAAAACTCCAGGTGAAAAACTTTTTACATAAGTGATGTTTAGCACACATGATCTATGCCGAAAGGAAGAGTGGTCTCTAATGGTGCGTTGAAAGTCTTAAAAAGATCAACTGAATGAAGTTTTCGCCCCTGTTGATGAAAGGATCTACTAAATTAGGCTATGTATAAGCGGAGTTTGGTCTAAAGGCAGCAGACACTGACGCTAAATGGGAACAAAGAGATGTAAGTCGAAAACTTTTTAAATGTGTGATGTTTGCCACATTTCTTGTATGCCGAACCGAAGGATGGCATCTAAGGATTCGTTAAAAGTCTTAAATGGTCAACCATAACATCTTTATGCTGTTAATAATAAAAGGTATCTACTAAATTTGGCTAAGTATGAATGGAGTTTGGTCTGAGAGCCTCTGCCGCAGAGGCTAGCTGGTAACAATAAGTCAAAAGTTGAAAACCTTTTTACATAAGTGAGTTTTGCCACATTTGGTCTTTGCCGAACTGCAGAGTGGCATCTAAGGATTTGTTAAAAGTCTTATATGGTCAACCACAACAAATTTATGTTGGTAGTGATTAAACTTATCTACTAAATTAGGGTTTTTATGAATGGAGTTTGGTGTGAGAGCTGCAGATACGGACGCTAGCTGTTTACAATCAGAGATAAAAGTTGTATTTAAACTCACAGCGGGCGGATGAGCAGTTGGTCACTTTCCTCCGCGGGAACCGTCGTGTCAGATTTACGTTTGGCCGCCATGTTTACTTTAATTAATCTGATTAATCTTTACAAACACTATTAATTCATAACTACTTTGGCAGCGACGCGCTCAACCACAAGTTTCACCCTTGCGTCACTTCCGGCTCCTGCTGAAGACCTGTCCGTGTAGTACAGCTAGTTGTACTTTGGTTCCGCTGTTAGAAAGAAAATGTTCCCCGATTTTAGAAAATAAAAGTCCATTTCTGCCAGACCAGGAAAATTATACTTTAATATTGAAACAATAAAAATAAGTCAAAGTTTGTGTCTTTTTTAGGCTACTTCATATTTTCCCCACTCATTTAACATGATAGTTTGTCTTTAATCAAAAATCACGACAAAAATCTCCTCCCTCATCGTTTGGCAGTTTAACTTCCATATTCACTCATGATACCAGACAGGTTCACCAGCTTCACCTTTCTTTTAAAAACATAAAACATGTTCAGTTCTCTCTCAGATATCCTGGTGTTCAGATATCAAATGCCAAAGTGCACATTATCAAGAGCTTGTTAGCTGTACAGAATTTTAAAAGGAAATGTTTATCTAATTTATATTTATCTATATATCTAAATCTATATTTTCTCTCTCTGTTTTGTGTTTTATGTATATCTTTGTTTTATAAAATTATTGTCCACTGAATGGTTCGTTTTCCTGCGTAGTGAGCTTCTTGTTATCATTGAACTGTTGTATTTTTCTGAACCCTTTGAAACCTGATAGCAAATTGGCTTGGTTTCTTTTAAGAACGTGGGAAGACGGCAAAGAGCAGCAAAAGAAAAGATGACCCACAAAGTTTGCAAGAATTTAGTAAAAAGAGAAAAAAAAGAAATGAAAAGAAAGTTGAAAAACAAACAAACAAGGAAATGAGCTGGAAAAGAGCTTAAAGAAAATCTAATAATTCTGTAATATAATTTTAAATACAAAATAATTGATCATTATAAATATAGTTTTACTTCCCTTCTTTCCTCCTCGCTTTCTTAAAATAATTTTCTAAATCTATTAATTGTTTTGCAATTTGTGGGACATTTCTCACCAAGTTGCTCAGTGACTTTTTCCCTCATGTTTTTGAAAATAATTGCATCAATGTTTTGAATTCTTGCGAAAGGCGTCTGAAACGTCTCAGAGTTAATCCTTCTTTACTTTTACTCCTTTTTTGTGATTTTTTGTTTTTCTCCTCAAATTAAGGTCAGTTTGTATAAACCTGCCGCCACATCTCTTATTATTATTATTCATTTTTTACCATCTGGATTTTATGGAGTTTTACAAAGGAATAAATCCAGCTTCTCCAATGTGAGGATTTTTATAATATTTTTGGGTTTTGGACTGTTGATCGGACAAAACAGGACATTTGACGAAGTCCACTTGGACGAAAATGATAAGTTATTTGCAGTGTTAAAGATTTTTAAAAAAAAGTAAGTAAAGGATACTTGGAGATAGATCTGAGGAGCTGAATTTAAGAGAAAAATTAAATGCATAGTGTGAAAAATGGAGGGTAAGTAAAGAGGGTGGAAAGAGAGTAAAATAGAATATCTGCATGTTTGTGTATAAAATCAGACGTCTGATTCAAAAAGCACATCACACACTGTGTGTTACAGGCGTAATTTCAGGTGTTTTAATGACATTGAGCGTTATAAGAAAATGAAAGTACAATAAAATTAAAAGTTTCCCTTCAGCCAACAGGTTAAAATTAATCATTTCTACCAGAGACAAAAACAATAACAAACACATCAGAGTATTTTTGGGGCTGTAACGTCACAGGTTTGATACCAGCAGACTCTGTTTAACAGTACTCATATATACTCATATGTGGTTTCAGTGGGATGTTGAAGCGTTCAGACAGCAGAGCGTCACACTGACGATGGTGATCAGGTCTGACTCACAGGTGACGTTCCAGTTCATCCCAAAGGTGGTGAGGTCAGGAACCAGTCCACTCTTCACACACTAACTGGGAAACAGGAGCTGTTCTACTGCACCGAGGAACACTGCTGTCTGTCAGGTGATTCTGTGTGCAGCACTAACGTTTCTTTTCATTAGATTTAAGGAGTTAAACCAGGAGCAGAGGGTCGCTGCAGCCACTCAATGTAGATGTTTATATGAAGCTCGATATTAAAACTTAACCAAGTTTCTTTTTTGTCTGCTGGATCCTTTGAAACAAACTCATCCTGACACATTCAGGATCTCCTGGGAAACTTTGTCATCTTGTTTAAAATTTAAAATACAGCTCTGTGAGTTTGTAAAGGTGGAGTCACAGGTGAGTTTGTAAATGTAAAACATGTGAGAGGGAAAATCTGACAGAAGCTGGAACATTAAAATAAAGCAGCTTCAGTGTTTTTGAGTTGCAGTCGTGTTCGTCTCTCAGGTGGATCACTGTGAGTCTTTGTCCTGGATGTTTCGGCTCCAGGTGAGCTGAGTGCAGGTGTGAACCTGACATCACTCTGTGATGAAGTGAACGAAGGTGACAGGAAACACTCCTCGCCTGCTCGGGTCTCCTTCAACGTGACCGACCTGAAACACATCACACACGCTCAAGTCAGAGACGTGAAAAAAGACGTCTTTGGTTCAAACCTGAAAGTTTGGAGGTGATGTAGTGATGATGTATTTCCTGTTCCAGGGGACAGGTGTCACTTACCCACCACTCGCTGTCCTCCTCCCCCTCCACCACGATCACCTCTCCCTCAGCGAACGTCAGCTCGTCTGGATTATCAGCGTTACAGTTGTAGATGGCCTTCACCCTCTGAGGCTTCTGCTTCTGCGCGCGCAAACACACACACACACACACACACACACACACACACACACACACAGAGTAAGTTTTAATTTATGATGGTTAAATGACAATAAATTAACATGAACATCTCAGTATCTGACCAAATGTCTCCCCTTCTGTTCCTGAGATATGATGTTAAAACATGATGATGTCACAGTCAAGCTGGCCTTTGACCTTTTGACCTTCATTATTTTATCCTGTTAGATATTTGTGTCAAATTTGGTCAGAATTAGTGTATGAATTCTTGAGTTGTGGCCAAAAACATATTTTGTGAGGTCACACTGACCTTTGACCTTCAAACACCAAATTCTAATCAGTTCATCGTTGAGGCCAAGTGAACGTTTGCGCCAAATTTAAAGAAATTCCCTACATGTGTTTTTGAGATGTTGTGTTTATGAGAATGAGACGGAAGCAAGGTCATACTTACCATGGCCTTTGACCACCAAAGTCTAATCACTTCATTCCTGAGTCAAAGTGGACATTTGTGCCAAATTTAAGGAAATTTCCTCAAGGCCTTCATGAGATATAAGGTTACCAGAATGCAATGGAAGGGGTCACAGTGAGCTTTGACTACCAAATTCTAATCAGTTCATTGTTAAGTCCAAGTGGATGTTTGTGCCAAATCTGAAGAAATTCCCTCAAGGTGTTTTTGAGATATCATGTTAATAAGAATGCAACAGACTAAGTCACAGTGACCTTTGACCACCAAATTCTAATCAGTTTACTGTTGAGTCCAAGTGGATGTTTGTGCCCAATTTGAAGAAGGCATTCTTGAAATATCACATTCAAAAGAATGAGACGGACGCAATATCATAGTGACCTTTAAAGTTCAGGCTTGTTCACAATTTGTGCCAAATTGGAAGAAATTCCCTCAAGGTGTTTTTGAGATATTGCATTCATGAGAATGAGATGCAAGGTCACACTGACCTTGACCTTTGGACCATCAAATTGTTATCAGTTCATTCTTGTGTCCAAGTTGATGTTTGTGCCAAATCTGAAGAAATTCCCTCGAGGCTTTCTTGAGACATCGAATTGATAAGAAAAAGAGGGATGCAAGGTTGCAGTGACTGTTGAACACTAAAATCTAATCACTTCATTCTTGAGTCCAAGTTGATGTTTGTGCCAAATTTAAGGAAATTCCCTAAAGGCCTTCCTCGAGATATCATGATGACAAGAATGCAACGGACAGAGTCACAGTGACCTTTGACCACCAATTCTGATCAGTTTATCGTTAAGTCCAAGTGCCTCATTGTGCCAGCGAATGTGTCTGCCAATGAGCTGTTCGTATTCATGCAGAGGAACAAAACTGAATGAGTTCCTGTGACATCACTTGTGTTTTTGTTGTTGAGGTTTTGAACGTAACCTGAGCTCCACCGGACCGACCCTCAGTAACAATCTGGAGCTGAGTGTGTGTCAGTGTTGACCTCTGACCTCTGTGTCTCTGTTGTGTTTGAGGACTTACGGAGAAAGTGCTTCTGGGTTTGGGCGTCGGAGGCGTTGGAGTTTGTGGGGATTTGGACTGAGACCCTACAGAGAGAAAATAAACAACAACAATACATGACATCACAGTCAGAGACACGACAACCTGTACAGGTGTGTTTGTATTGGTGACTCGTAGGTTCATCTGTCTCTGAAACTTTTTATTTGTGGTACGATAAGACAGAGATCATTTTTAGTCATATTATTATTTTAATGTACTGATGGTTTTCAGGAAGTTAAACTGTCACACAAACATGTTTTTATTCCTCTGCTGTCACAGGAAGTTCAGATTTCTGCTCAGATCCAGCGATTGAAACCTTTGTTTGCAGATTTAAAATCACTCTGTGTATCTGTGTGTTTGTACCTCGTTTGTCCACAGACGCCGTCCTGACTGGAGGTCTCTGAGGAGGAGTTTTCACTGATCTGAAATCAGACAGAATAAAGTCGACTGATTAATTTGTTTGTTTTAATGTTCAATAAAGCTCATATAAATGAATGGTATGAATCTTTTGAGGCATTTGTCCACAGTCAGTGTGTCATCTACAGGAGATGTTAGTTGGCAGGAAGTTAAACAATGTCCTGCTGGACGGGGGCAGCAGCAAAACATATTCCAGACACTTTACTTCATTCTAACACTTTACCACTAACACTTCATTCTAATACAGTCCAGGACAGTCCAAAACATTCCAGTACAGACCAGTACAGTCCAGTACGTACCCAGAGGGTGATTTAGGGGACTTGGGACCTGGTGGTACTGGTGGTCCTGGAGGTCTACTGGTCTGGTGAAGGGGGACTGGTGGAGGATGGGGCGGAGCTTTGTAGTGGGGTGGTGGTGGGATGGTGGGTGGTGGGGGGATTGGAGGTACTGGGAGGACTGGGGGGAGTCCAGCTGTTGGTGGGGGTGGCAGAGGAGGGAGGGGCGTGTTCCTGACTGACACGGTCTTGGTCTCCAACATACTGGACCTCTTGTTTACTGGAGGAGGAGGACCTGCTGGGAGCACTGGGAGAGGAGGAGGGAAGATCAGGTTCAGATTAATTCGACCAGGAAAACATCTGAAGGACATGGACGCACAGGGGTCATTAAATTCAACGATTCATTTTCTGTTAATCAACTCATCAGCTATTCGACTAATCTACTAAACAGCTAATTGATTAATCAACTAATCAACTAATTGATTAATCAACTAATCAGCTCAGGGCGTCAGTGGCTTAGTTGGTAGAGCAGGCGCCCCACGTACAGTGCTGTTGCCGCAGCGGCCCTTGTTCGAATCCAGCCTGTGGCCCTTTGCTGCATGTCATCCCCCCTCTCTCTCTCCCCCTTCACGCTTACCTGTCCTGTCCATTAAAGGCAAAATGCCCCACAAAATATCTTTAAAAAAATCAACTAATCAGCTAATCGACTAATCTACAAAACAGCTAATTGATTAATCGACTTATCAGCTAAGCTGACTAGTGTACTAATCAGCAATTTGACTAATCGCATCATTGGCTAATCAACTAATCATCTAATCAACTAATCTACTAATTGACAAAACAATTAAAACACTAATCAATTAATGGACTGATCACTGCAGCTCCAGAGTGAAGATGAATCTGAGGAGTTACAGGATGACATACATCAATAAATCAATATGAGTATAAATACAAAGGAACTCTTGTTGTTGGCAGCACAGGAAGTAAAGGACCTGATGCTTTTATTTTGTCAAAAGATAGGAAGTGACTGACAGGAAGTGACTGACACCCACCGTACATGGAGGAGTTCCTATCAGGGGTTAGAGGGTTGGGGGGGTCGGAGGACGACCGCTGTCTCCCGACTGTTTCCATGGCAGCAGGTTTACCGTGTCCTGAACCTGCAGGGGCACAAAACGCATGTCTAGGAGAGTCAGCTGATCAACGATCAAACCATTGATCATGTGACAATGAATGATTAATCATATGAGGTTAACATATTGTGACGTCGTGGTCAAACACCATGTGACTGTAAAGTTTGATTCCAGCGTTTAAAAAAACTCCCTCACTCGTATGATTTTAGTTTTTAGTTAATTTCATCTTGATTATTTCTGTTCATTCACCGAGTCTTTGTTATTTTTAGATTTAGCTTAGCCTAGCATAATTTAGCGTTCAGCTAACATATCTTAGCTTTCTCTAACTGACTTCACTTTATTGCTTTAGGTAATCTTTGTATTTTATTTCATTGTAAAATTTGTATTTTTAATCTTTAGACTAAACCTTTGTTCGACCAGTTTGTTGCTTAAGACACAGCTTGTCCCGACATTTCCTGTCTGTTCACTGTGAAGTGTCGAATAAAACAGACTAATAAAAGGAAAACAATCAGCCTCCTAAAATATGAATTTAAGTTAAAGGCAAAACATCACTGTGGTTCATCTCAAGCTGTTGTTCCTTTATTTTGAAATGTAGGATTCAGTCCCCCTGGAAGGTTTTGATCCCTATAACACAAATTAAGCTGATCTCCTTGAATTAAAGTAGAATCTCATTTTATTGTAGAGCTGCATTTAGTGTATCGATTCTCTGTGTTTATCATGAGGCTGCTGCAGGACTGAAGCTCAGTGACAATCACACACACAGTGACAGGGCAAACTGTTAGCATCACACAGCTTATGTTACCCAACAGTCAATAACAAGTGTAACGACAGAGTCGAGACATTTCAGTGTCAGTGTGAGATTGTTGAGACAGTTAAATGTCTCAGTGTCAGATGTTAGCTGCTGCTGCTGTGTTAGCTCGTGCTAACCAGGCAGAGAGAGCAGGAGGAGAGCAGCTCATGGTGACGGTCCTGCAACACTGTCTGTTGTTGCCTTCCCGTCCTCTTACAATCACCAGCAGATTCTAGTTCTGTGGAAACACTTAACGATCATAAGACCAAGCTTTGATTCCGAAACAGCATCGCAACTAATTTTTCACCTGTGAGTCCTGTTTGTCTTCTGCGTCTCTTTCATCTTCCTTCTTCCTGTAAATCTTTTTGTTAAATAAAGTTTTTTGTGTTCACTGTTGTCGCTGTGTCTGACCTCTGTTGGGTCCTCTGGGCGGCAGTGGGGGTGTTGGTCCTGGCGGCAGGTTCAGGTCCAACATGGTGCCGTAGGTCTCGTTGCTGATCATCATGCTGGGGACCTGAGGCCTCTGTTTGTCCCGCACCAGGCAGGCGGCGTCTCGGGCCAACGCCGCCAGGTTGGGCTGTATGGGGCCACTGCCCGGCATGAAGCAGCTGACCGGACGCTCCTCACGGCGGTTCGGGATGGGCTGCAGGAAGCAGACTGTTACACATCCTACACATGTCCGTAAGTTGTTTCACACAGAGCAGAAGATAAAACCAGCTGACCTTGTCCTCCATCTCGTCCTCGCTCTCGTCCATGTCGTCATTCTGGAGACGCCACTCGTACTCGACGTGAACGTGGACATTAAACTTTCCAGTCTGAGCCTGAGTCAGCTGAAATGTACAAACACTGTTTTCAATACAGGATGAAGGAATCCATCTGAATTTTTAAAATACGGCTGATACGTAGCAGTGACTGTGACAGGTGACAATCAAGAGACAAAAACAAAAAGTCAAACAAACATATAAAAGGATAAAATATAAACATGGAGAGTTTTACCTGTTCTTCACACAGAGTGTGTCGCAGACGTTTGGCGATGTCCAGCGGCGTCTCGCCTGCTTCGTTTGCTGTGGAAACAAATTTAAGATCAAAAGAAGCATTACACTGAAAATTGATTCGTTTAGACACGACTAAAGGTTTGTAATGAAGCTGTCGCCCTCCTGAGGCTGTAACACTGTGAGGCTGTTTCACTGTGAAGCTTTAACACTGTGAGGCTCTTTAACTGTGATGCTGTTTAACTGTGAGGCTGTTACACTGTGAGGCTGTTTAACTGTGAGGCTGTAACATTGCAAGTCTGTTTAACTGTGAGGCTGTAACACTGTGAGGCTGTAACACTGTGAGGCTGTTACACTGTGAGGCTGTTACATTGTGAGGCTGTTACACTGTGAGGCTGTTTCACTGTGAGGCTGTAACATTGTGAGGCTGTTACAATGTCAGGCTGTAACACTGAGTCTGTAACACTGTGAGGCTGTAGCATTGTGAGGCTGTTTAACTGTGAGGCTGTAACATTGCGAGTCTGTTTAACTGTGAGGCTGTAACACTGTGAGGCTGTAACACTGTGAGGCTGTTACACTTTGAGGCTGTAACATTGCGAGTCTGTAACACTGTGAGGCTGTTACACTGTGAGGCTGTTACATTGTGAGGCTGTTACACTGTGAGGCTGTTTCACTGTGAGGCTGTAACATTGTGAGGCTGTTACAATGTCAGGCTGTAACACTGTGAATCTGTAACACTGTGAGGCTGTAACATTGTGAGGCTGTAACATTGTGAAGCTGTGACACTGTGTGGCTGTTACACTGTGGGGCTGTTTCACTGTGAGGCTGTAACATTGTGAGGCTGTAACATGGTGAGGCTGTTTCACTGTGAGGCTGTGACACTGTGATGCTGTAACACTGTGAGGCTGTGACACTGTGAGGCTGTGACACCGTGAGACTGTTACACTGTGAGGTTGTTACACCGTGAGGCTGTGACACTGTGAGGCTGTAACACTGTGAGGCTGTAACATTGTGAGGCTGTTACACTATGAGGCTGTTACATTGTGAGGCTGTAACACTGTAGTGCGTCTGCTTTCAGTCTGTGTGTGTTTGTATTCTCACTGATGGACACTGAAGCTTTTCCTCTCAACAGCAGTTTGAGACACTCGCTGTTGTCTGTCAGACAGCAGTAATGCAGCGCTGTGCTTCCTTTTGCCGTCTGTTTGTCCAGGTTACCACTGAAACACACACACACACACACACACACACACCTGAGTGTTGCTACACACACAAGGACACACACTGACTGAGTGTAAACCTGAGGAAGCTAACAGCTGATTACACTGACGTGACCATGGGGCACTTCCCTGACATTTAATATGGCAAACAATCAATTAATTAATCAAGCAAACAGTTGGCAGATAGAGTGATAACAACATTGATCCTGTGAGGATGATGATGATGATGATGATGATGATGATGATGATGTTACCTGTTCTGGGCGAGGAAGTCAACAATGTGGAGGGAGTTTCTGTCGACCATGCGGACGGCCAGGTGGAGCACCGTCTCTCCAGGTTCCTGACAGAAACAAACAGAGGGTGAATCTCTCACTTCACTCTGTCGTGTTTAAAAACTAAAGAGACGTCACAAACATTAATGATTTCTGCCTCAGTTGTTGTTGGTATCTGACTGACAGATGATGGAAGAGATCAGTAAGGTCGTACGTGTTCGTTGGGCTGTGGGATGGCCTCCATTAGGTCCACCCCCTCGGCGTAGACCTGGATCAGAGACAGGATGTCCCTGTTCCTGACGGCCTCGTACAGAACCTGCAGTCTGGATGCAGCATCTGCACAAAGCCGCTGGGCGAAGCGTTTCTCCGTGTACTTCGCTGTGATGTAATCCTTCCTCATCTGCCTGGAGGACGAACCAGAGATCAGAGTGAGTCACTGCGTCATCATTTCATCAGTTTTTACATGTTAGATTTGAGATCACGTCTTCGAGGTCGTCACTCACATGTCACTGGACGGACTAGGTTTGGTGACGCCCTGCGCCGACAGATCTGCCTCCATGATCTCGTTGAAACTGGCATTTCCCACGTTCTTCGCCAACTAAAACACAACATGTCAGGTCAGGTGAGTTCATCACAGCTGCTCCTTAATGAACTTAAATGATCACATCAGCAGCTTCCTGATTGGTTCATTAATTGATCTCAATATAAAGTTTTAATTGAATTAATGTGATCCAACAACACACCTAAAACATCTACTGCCCGACAGACACTGGATTTTGGAGCTGACACCGATATTAGGGAGTAAACTAATATTATACATATAAACTAAACTGTGATAGACTCTGTATCAATCTGCGCTGCCTCAACACTCTGATTTCCGTTGCTCCAGTGGGGACAGTGAAGTGGACTCACCAGCAGCTCGGAGGTCCCCAGGACGTCCAGGTCCAGACTCTGGATCCTGGAGTAGTGGACCCCCATCTCCCTGTGGATCCCTGAGCACTCGATACAGATCAGCACCCCCAGGTTGGTGGACAGCCAGGTGGGACCTGACAGGGCGAGAGGAGGATGATGATGAAGGAGGACAAAGTTTTTAAAGATGATGATGTCATGTTCATGTCCGTCATCGAGGCTCTGATTCACAGACAGGAGGTGAGCAGGATGACCTGGTGTTACTCAGTAACAGTGAGTCTTGTTGTAATACTGACTCTACGATCTGTATATATCCAGATACTCTCCTCTGTGTTTATACTAATATTTTCTACATGTTTCTTTGTACACATTATATTTACATGTCCTGGTGTATGGATGTATATGAGTTATATATAATGTTAATTCTTTACTGTTATTTACTGATGAATTATTGCAGCAGGTGTGGTCTGTCACATGACCTGTAAAGGCATCATGGGTATTTAAGATGGAGACTTTCAGATGTTTATCAGCAGTCTGAGGCGGAGCTGCTGCCTGTAAACGTTGCACAGCATTAACATCCCTCTGACAGGAGCGACCTGCTGCTTGGATCCATTTCAGTAACAACAACACCAACAATCTCAGCTGCTGACAGACAGCTGGGCTCAAACTGTTGTACTGTCACACAGTGAAACTCTGCTGCAGCATCGTCCTTCATAAACTCGTCTGACCGGCACGACCGACAGCTCAGGAATGTAGCTGGTTAGTTTAAGGATACAGCAGGTTACAGTTCACATCTGAGACGCTGCTGCAGCACTGCTGAGAGTTTAACCAGCTCAGAGCCAGTGCAGATAATTATACATTATCATCTCATCTATAACATCAAGTGTGTAACAGTTATCACATACTGTTATTATTACATAACAATAACAGTACATACAATGCATGTATAGGTCCTGTTTGTACATGTGTGTGTATTTTGGGCCTGTGTGTGAAAAAGAGTGAAAATAACTGAATGTCCCCTCTGGGGTTAATAATGTACAGTACTGGCCAAAAGTTTGGACACACCTTCTCATTCAATGCGTTTTCTTTATTTTCATGACTATTTATATTGTAGATTCTCACTGAAGGCATCAAAACTATGAATGAACACATGTGGAGTTATGTACTTAACAAAAAAAGGTGAAATAACTGAAAACATGTTTTATATTCTAGTTTCTTCAAAATAGCCACCCTTTGCTCTGATTACTGCTTTGCACACTCTTGGCATTCTCTCCATGAGCTTCAAGAGGTAGTCACCTGAAATGGTTTCCACTTCACAGGTGTGCCTTATCAGGGTTAATTAGTGGAATTTCTTGCTTTATCAATGGGGTTGGGACCATCAGTTGTGTTGTGCAGAAGTCAGGTTAATACACAGCCGACAGCCCTATTGGACAACTGTTAAAATTCATATTATGGCAAGAACCAATCAGCTAACTAAAGAAAAACGAGTGGCCATCATTACTTTAAGAAATGAAGGTCAGTCAGTCCGGAAAATTGCAAAAACTTTAAATGTGTCCCCAAGTGGAGTCGCAAAAACCATCAAGCGCTACAACGAAACTGGCACACATGAGGACCGACCCAGGAAAGGAAGACCAAGAGTCACCTCTGCTTCTGAGGATAAGTTCATCCGAGTCACCAGCCTCAGAAATCGCAAGTTAACAGCAGCTCAGATCAGAGACCAGATGAATGCCACACAGAGTTCTAGCAGCAGACCCATCTCTAGAACAACTGTTAAGAGGAGACTGCGCCAATCAGGCCTTCATGGTCAAATAGCTGCTAGGAAACCACTGCTAAGGAGAGGCAACAAGCAGAAGAGATTTGTTTGGGCCAAGAAACACAAGGAATGGACATTAGACCAGTGGAAATCTGTGCTTTGGTCTGATGAGTCCAAATTTGAGATCTTTGGTTCCAACCGCCGTGTCTTTGTGAGACGCAGAAAAGGTGAACGGATGGATTCCACATGCCTGGTTCCCACTGTGAAGCATGGAGGAGGAGGTGTGATGGTGTGGGGGTGTTTTGCTGGTGACACTGTTGGGGATTTATTCAAAATTGAAGGCACACTGAACCAGCATGGCTACCACAGCATCCTGCAGCGACATGCCATCCCATCCGGTTTGCGTTTAGTTGGACGATCATTTATTTTTCAACAGGACAATGACCCCAAACACACCTCCAGGCTGTGTAAGGGCTATTTGACCAAGAAGGAGAGTGATGGAGTGCTGCGGCAGATGACCTGGCCTCCACAGTCACCGGACCTGAACCCAATCGAGATGGTTTGGGGTGAGCTGGACCGCAGAGTGAAGGCAAAGGGGCCAACAAGTGCTAAACACCTCTGGGAACTCCTTCAAGACTGTTGGAAAACCATTTCAGGTGACTACCTCTTGAAGCTCATGGAGAGAATGCCAAGAGTGTGCAAAGCAGTAATCAGAGCAAAGGGTGGCTATTTTGAAGAAACTAGAATATAAAACATGTTTTCAGTTATTTCACCTTTTTTTGTTAAGTACATAACTCCACATGTGTTCATTCATAGTTTTGATGCCTTCAGTGAGAATCTACAATGTAAATAGTCATGAAAATAAAGAAAACGCATTGAATGAGAAGGTGTGTCCAAACTTTTGGCCTGTACTGTATATATTCTTCTTCAAACAGAAGCAGTAGCAGTAACTGTAGGAGTTGCAGGAGTAGCAATAATAGTAATGTTAGTGACAACAGCAGTAGAAATAGTACTAGTGGGTGCAATACTAGAAGCATTAACAGTAGTACTAGTGACAGTAATAGTAGCAGATACTGTTGTTTTGAATTTATATCTTAATGCTTCATCTTATTTTTTCTTCATGGTTGTGCAGACCAGTGTTGTGCTGAGCTGTTCGATGTTGTTTATAAAGAGAAGAAAAGTCATTAACTATATCTAATTTGTTTTAAAAAGTAGAAATACAGACAGCTTGTTTCCTGTTCCATCCTGTGGGCTGTTTTGTTGAGAACATTATATTAAACAGTTTAAGCTGTTGATTTATTTTCCAAATGTAAGAAGACAGGTCAACATATTGCTGTTAGTGATGCGTACCGCAACAAAAGTCTCGTACTGAACAGTTCGATACAAAAACATGTATTGCCTCCATTTTATTCACTTTCATCACTGTTGAGTCCAAGTCGACATTTGTGCCAAAATTGTAAGGAAATTCCCTCAAAGCCTTCTTGACATACTGTGTGCATAAGAATGAGATGGATCAAGGTAACATTGACCTTGACCTTCAACCAACAAAATCTTATCAGTTCATTGTCAAGTCTAAGTGGACGTTTGTGCCAAATTTGAAGAAATTCACTCAAGGCGTTGTTGAGATATCACGTTGATGAGAATGGGACAGACTGACATCCCAAAAACTGTTTATGTCACTTTGTTTACATGTGAAGTCAAATTGAACTCTGAAGATAGGACAAAGCCAAGACATGTTCATCTTCAGATGTAATCTGAGACAGATGAACAAGTCAGCAAGAGAGAAGGTCGCTTTCAACTCTTCTCTTTTGGTAGTACTGACCCTGCACTCCACAGCAGCAGCAGCAGCAGCAGCTCACCTGAAGCTCCACAGTCGCAGCAGCTGTCATTGCCACTCATCCTCTTCACCTCTCCTACGATGGCTCTGGTCAGCTCCTGCACAATGTTGTTCTCTCCTTCGTCCTGGTCGCCTTTAAATGCTTTGTTCAGCGCCTCTTCTTTACTGTTCTGCAGCACCGACACCCAGCTGCACACAAAGCGACACGTCAGGTCAGAGGTCACTCAGAGGTCACACAGAGGTTACAAAGAAGTCGTACTTACATCTGACACTCGGCTTCGTCTTCGGCTTGGAAGTGATACGTCCTGTCATCTGAGGGAAACAAAAGAAGACTCAGACGGGAGAATGGAAAAGGTCTGACTGATGAACACATGAAAACGGGATGTCTGTAGCTTACGTGAGAAAAGGTCGAAGCTCTTCTTCTCGTCTGGATTCCTCTTCACCTGACAGGTGAGCAGGTTGAGTTTGGCTGGAGGTCTGTTAGCCTGAGAGACGAGAAGCAGGGAGGAGAGCGCGGCCGTCACATTGAAAGTCTTTGACATCCGATAAATAAAAACCAAAATAATCACATGTGCAGTGGGTGTGTTGGCACAACATATGGTGCAGGTATCCATGGTAACCAGAAGACTGTGACGTTTCATCTGGCGCCACCATGAGGTCAGTTTGTTAGTTGTGTCTCAGTAAGTATCTGATGAGGTGGTTCATCTTAATGTGTCTAAAACTTTGCTTTAAACACCTGCAGAACTGATGACGTTCACATCAGCCTCAGCTGGACTCCGCTCATGTCTAAATTTGCTATCATTTGCTATTTTTAGTGCGAACTATCAGAACATTCACACTGAGATGTGTGTTAAAATGCACTATGAGTCCTCATAATAGTCAACAAAGTTGAGCGTGGAGAGCTGAACCCTTCTCACCCTCAATGGTCACCATCTCGGCTAAATAGTGCAGAGATCATGGATGTATTAGGAGACCTGAATACAGTGTTAGAGGCGGGACCAGTTTCATTCTTGTAAAAGTTGCACAGTGGCACACAATGCCAAAAAAGCTCTATTCTGGTGGTATGAAATCACCTGGACGATTGACGCTGCTTCCACATCATCGGGCCACAGAGCAGGCACACCAGACTACTTGCAATTTATGGCTCTGCTAAATTGAATGGGGTTAAAATTATTTATTCTTTCGGTTCTTCTACACTTTTCAAATGTTAACGGACTGAATGGATTAAATCCTAAAATTTGAACGAATCATTTCACGGGGGTTTTTGCTCAATAAAATGTATCCACTGATTTACAGACACCTCTTTACAATGTAAGTCTATGGGAAAAAGTATTTTTGGACACAACGGCATCACATGATGGACTCCAGAAATTGCAGTACCGCTGTTTGGCCACTACTAAAATTGACTTTGAAACCTGGCCCACTCCCTGGGGGCCTGGCAAAAAGACGGACCACAAACTTGTGAAAATGGCGGCAGAAGAAGCTGCAGTGGTTGCGCCAGTAAACAAGAAAATAAACCAGTAGATATTTTGACAGGAAACAATCAAGGTCAAATGTTGGCGGTTCCATCTGGTTGCAATTTACCATTAAAAAGAAGAAGAAGAAGAAGAAGCGCTAAACTGCTGTGATTGTTATTTCTGGTAATTGAACAACAGCCGTGTTTGATTTGAGACAACACCGCAGAAATTCATGCACTAATCAAGAAAGTACACGGTGTACTGAGGTACTAAAGTGTAGTGAACAGAAGTATCTGAGACAAAGTATTAATGTTTACTAATAATTAGCTAATGTTAGCATGCTAACACGCTAAACTAAGATGGTGAACATGGTAAAAATACCTTCTAAACATCAGCATGTTAGCATTATAATTGTGATCATTTTAGCATGCTAATGTTAGCATTCAGCTTAAAGTACTGTTATGCACAAGGAGCTGTTAGCATGGCTGTGGACTCTTTTCACACCAAATGCAAATAATTCATACAAATAAATCGCATGACAATTTAAAAAGTCAAGCCGATCAATCTCTACAAGCTGATGCACATTGAATCGGAAACATTCTTATTTAGCTGTAGTATTGTTTTTATTAGCCGCCAACCGTATCACTGCGCAGAAGGAAGTGTGCATCGACTCATGGGACTCGTGCTTGAGACAGCGCGAGATGGAAACATTAATGGCGTCCTCCTCAGCTGAGCTGTAACGTTAGCTAGCTCAGGTTTGCTAGGTGAGCTAGCAGTAGATGCACGCTTCCCTCTGAGTGGTGATAAAGTTGGTGGGTGTAGTTTGGTAGTAAGAAAATAGTTCCTACGTGAAACTGCTCCTAACAAGTTCTGTGGATTATCTTGATAAACTGGGTCATGATTACCTGAAAGAGACCTCGTTAAAAACGACTGATGAGGTTAAAATGATGTAAGAGTAGATTTTTGTGTTTGTGAGAGCTGAAGCAGAGATGAGAGATTATATAGGAGTTATTAGTTTTTAGTAATTAGTTAAAACCCTCCTCCCTGTTCCCACCCTTCTCTCTGTCATCCTTTTCCTTATGCTCTTCCTCCTCCTCCTGCTTCTCTTCCTCTGCTTCTTGCTCTGTCCTGATTGGCCGTTTGACTCTTCATGTAAAAACTTCAAAATAAAAGAAAGAAGGAACAAAAGAAAAAAATAAGAAACTAAATAAAAAAATAAAACAAAATGTTGAAACAGAAAATAAAACCCCAGAGGACTATTTTTAATTGGCTGATGGACATGCAGGCGGGAGGTCGGAGCTTCTCATGCAGGAGGACCAATAGGAGGAGAGGATGTGGCGTCTTACCGTGCCGTGGCAGATGGTCAGGAAACCGTTCTTCACCGAGCACTTCCTTTTCTGCCACACCTTCCTGAGTCTGAGGACGACACACACGTTATTCATACATGACGAACATATGTTGATCTTTTTGTACCAATTCTTGAAGTGTTCGAATCGATCGATCACTGAAAGTTTACAACGTGATATATAACGGACAGCACACTCTGACAAACTGCCCCCTTGGTTGTATGACTTTGCCCTAGCCCTACCCCTAACCCAGGTCGCAACCAGTAGCACTAATTAGCATAAGCACGTTAGCATCCTGTGACTCTGTGTGATCACTTTCATACGTCTGGGAACAGAAAATAATCTTCTGTCATAAACCTGAACTCTGCTGGTGGTTGAGCTCTACAGGAAGTTGTTTTCCTGATGCATGCTGGGAAACTGAGTTCACTCACCCCTCACTTTTCTTGTAGAGGACTCCGGAGCGTTCGGTGCCGTGAGCCTTGTTTCCCTGCAGCTGGTGGAGGCTGTAACCTGCGTTCTGTTTGGCCTGAGCGTCCTGCAGACAAACAGGAAACAAAACTTTAGCCTCCATATTTGTAGTTCTCACAGAGTGTGTGTGCATGTGTGTGTTTCTCACCTCTTTCTGCTCAGACTGCAGAGACGCCTTCAGGACGTCTCGGAGCTGAGTCAGCTGTTTCCTCTCTCCATCCTGAGTCTGTTTAATCTGAACACCACAGAAGAAGAGACAGGATTTAATAATAACTACACATGATACTGACGTGACATTTCAGATATTTTCACATGTTTTCAGTGCTGAAATGTTTCCAAGTACATTAAGTCAAGTGCAAATTAAAGGTCCTTGTACTTTACTTGAGTATTTCCATTCCCTGCAGCTCGACTTCATCTCACAGGTAAATCTTTAATTTTGAATGCAGGACTTTTGCTCACAGTGAAGTATTTTAGCAGTTTGGTGTTTGAACTTTTACTGTAGTAAAGGATCTGAATACTTCTTCCACCACATTAAAGCCCCCCAACATTCATTTAGTTATTGTTGAAAGAGAGATGTTGGATGAAATGACCCTTTAATTCCTCACTATAATTCACTCAGCTCTGTTTCTGTGTTCACTCTGAGCTAAACGTTTCGTCCTCACCGCCGTCAGGTCGGTCGCCAGTTTCTCCACAGAAGGTTTCAGACTCTCCACAGCCTTCAGTCCGTCCTGAAAAAAACTGAACAGCACACAAAATGACCAAACACATTCGTACGTTTACCTATAATCTAAAAATGAATGAATAAATAAAGAGAACAAATCTCTGTCAGAAATTATTTCCTCATTCTGAAAATTATTTTTTTTGCTGACATTAAAGAAAAACACTGTGAAAAGAACTGATTACATGTTTATTGATTATTTTCATCTATTATTTTTTATTTAGCATTAAATTAAGTTTGATGTTGTATTTATTTATTACATAATCAGATTCATTCAAAACTTTAGAATTATTAAAGTTGGACATTTTCTCACAATCATCAACCTGCAGAGCCAGAGAGCCACCATTTTATGTTGTGTTTACATCAAGCGCTATGCAAATTTCCATGTTGCATTGCTCTTGTGAGTTTTAACACCAGAATATTTTGTGTTGACTCGCTTCATTCTTGTGAATAACGCGTGTCATATGCGTGTGAAATCGCTGGATCAGTGAATGAACTTTGGGCGGTATGTCCTCGGTGTCATACGTCTCCAGAGGATCTCAATGCTGATTGGCTATGGCGCCATGAATTGGTCGCTGAAGTTCAGATTTTTCAACTCTCACAATTAAGCGTACAAAACGAAATTGCGCTACTCATTTCATTTGCGCTGCTTAATTCATGTAACTCGTGTGCATGCGCGCAGATGGCAATGGGGACGGGGGGGACATGTCCCCCCGAGATTTATAGTGACCCCGATCTGTCCCCCCACTGCCCCCCCCACACATAGGTAAAAAAGAGGATCAATGTTCCGTTAGTTAGGCTAACTTACATTGCAGCACAAAGTTGAAATGGCAGCTGCAGTTGCGTTGTCAGTTATCAATCCTCATTACACCGATTCAAGAAGGGGAAAGGCTGGGGCAGATCCTTGCTGAGTTGGGAAAGCAAGGTGTTCAATTTTCCACATTATTCTCGGTTAATAACACTGCACAGCTGATCCACTGATAGCCTTGTGCTTGTGCTACAACTAATGGTGCGGTCAGTTGTACTTGTAAGTCGGAGTCTTGAAGTCGGAAAAGCATTGAAATCTAGCATTTGAAGTCGGAAAAGCATTGAAATCTAGCATCTACAAGCATAAACGTTGGGTTTTTCGTTTTATTTCATTAACTGTCCATTTTTTTTGAATTCCATGTTCCATGTCCCAGTTTTTAAACTGGGAAGCGCTCAGTTCGGAGGTTACGTTGTTCGAGCTCTGAGTTCTGACTTCCAATGTAAATGTAAAGCACCATAAGGCACAGGGGTCCTAAGAGGAGCTGGTAGCTGTGCCTGTAGCGGTAACCATAGTGATCATATACAACTGTCTAATGACTGAGCTGGTGATTTTTCTGCCACATGAAGCCAGAGAAGAAAGAAAAATAATCACAGGGTTTTTTTCAAGAACAAAAAGATGTAAATATCCTATGCCTGTTGCCTGTTGACTTTCCCAGATGTGGCAAATATTTGTTTTGTAATGTCGAGTAGCTATGCTGACAATAATAAGAAGGCATTTGGACTCACCTGAAGTAGGGTAAATGTAAAATAACAGCATTCATAATGTTATTTTAGTAAGCAGCAACAGTTTGATCATGTATGGTTTGTGTTGATCAGGTAGGCCTTTGCTTACCAATGTTCATTCAGTCAGAAAACTCATGATTCTAATGTTTAGTGCAGCTTCAGTATATATATATATATATATACAAATATATATATATATATATATATACATATATGTGTGTGTGTGTGTGTGTGTATATGTATTTACACAAAATAACTAAATCTGTGCCCCTGCTCGCGTCCATCGTGCCGCTTCATGGGAATTTGCATCTGATCACATCTTTGCATTAACTTTACATTTTATTCACTTGCGCAAATTGTTTTATACGTGCCCGGTGTGAACACAAAATTAGATGTAGACATGTGCAAGTTTCAGAGGGCGGGTTATCTCATTTTTTAATGTGACCAATCAGAGGCTCATAACCCCCTGTCAGTTAAAAACGTTTCAGTTTTTGATTCAGCCAATCACCTCACAGTGGTGGGAGAGGTCAACATTTCAACTAACTAGCTATGCTAGCGCTAACTAGCGTCTGTGTATCAACTCCCTGATCATAAGAGAACATAGCAACTTCAACCACTGCTCATTTTAGAAGGACCACCGCGAGAAGCCGTTTCTTTGTTTAAATTTTAGGCAGTTAACGAACAATGAATCATAGCGGTTTATTTCTGGCTGCTAGTGTTAGCTAGCATAACTTGCAGGCTAGTGAAGTTAGCTGTGAAGTCGTCCATTTCCACTTCAAAATTTCAATGGAAAACTTTGCTGACTGTTGATACATTGTCAAGGGTTAATGTTAGAATGGATGGTTTGTGTCCCTGTCCTCCAGATGGGCGGACTTGCTCCTCTGGATCATCCATTTTAGCACTAATCCAAGTCAAAGTATCAACAGACGGCAACGTTTTTAAAATTAATTTTAAGTGGAAATAGATAACTCTTAAGCAAGCTAACGCTGCAGCCAGAAACAAACATCTATGATCCATCGTCCATTTGATAATCTAAACAAAGAACATGTTTCCTTGTGGTGTCTCTCCTAAAATGAGCTGTGGTGAAATCTCCGTCTGTACAACATAAAACTGAGAGTCCGGTACTCTTGCACATGCGTACGCCTAAAATGGCGTCTCTCCGGCTCTGTAGAGGGATGTTTCTCCATTTTCTTGATGAAGTTCTGGTTGTTCTTTCTGACAGATTTAAACATGGTTTTAATTTTTACTGATGATATCTGTGCAGGGAGACATACTTGCACTGAGCGTGGAAATACTTGATGAGGTTCTGGAGGAAGTCGACACCTTTCTTTACTTTGATCTCGTTGACTTTGAGGAGATACTGTGGAGACAAGATTCATCACCAGCTCATTCTGTTTCAGTCCTCACATGTGTTTTAGATATTCAATTATTTTCTCTGAAATTAAATAAAATCTGAGCGTCCTGACCTCGCACATCTGCAGCTGGAAGAGTCGTCTCTCCTTCTCCATCTCCTCGGCGATCTCTCCTCCGCTGAACTCGGTGCGAATCATCCCGTGCTGCTTGGCGTGCTCCCTCTTCTCCTTCTCAATCTTCGCTCTGGAAAGGTTCAAAATTAATTAACAAACTTGTTCTGATCCTCTCACAGGTAAAACCAGGAAATGATTTCATTACTGACCATGACTCCTATTACTACTAATTACTAGCAGCGCTGTCACTTCTGTCAGAGTGAGATCACAAGTTGTTTCCTCTGTGACAGTGTCTACTAACTTTATTTAAACTGACAGAAGGTTCAGGAACGTGAGAAGAAAACGTGTTTCTGTTTTATAGTTTTTAAAATCTCGTTCATTGAGTTTTTTATAACTGATGAGGTGTTTTTGTGTTTTCTCACAGTTTGGTCTCGTAGTCCTTCCAGGATTTGTCAAACGGCTTCTTCAGATCCTGAAAGAGGCAGTGATGTCACATCATTAGACTGACCAATCACAGCACAGCATTCATTCATAACAACACAGACGGAAAGAGGACTTTGACCTGTGAGTCGCTCAGGAAATATGTCAAGATGATAGATAACCTGTGAGAGTATTTTTAACTGATAAAAACACAGAAGGGAAACTGGAATCTTAACTGACTCTACTTTAGTCTTATTCTTATTATTTTATATTGATTCTGAAGAATAAAGAACACAGAGAGCAGCACAGACATGTGCACAGATCGACCCCAGGTGAAGCTCAAACACTTGACTTTCTGACCTCTGACTAGATAAGAAGACTTTTTTTTTATACTTCTTCCTAATAATATTATATTTTAGTCGTGGCTTCAATTCTTGATTAAAAGAGTAACATGTGCTCAACAATTGCATCTGAGTCAAGCCCCCGCCCCTCCATCTTTAACCTCCCTTGAAGAAGCCGCACACACATTGACCTGACCTGTCTTCATGGACAGACAGAAAATGATAGTGTTTGCCCTCAGTCCTGGTATGATTCACCTGATGTGAAATTAAATTACTATTAAAACATTTCAGTGCAGCCAGTCTAATTTAGGCAATGACCCACCGTTAAGTTTAACAACAAGTGAGCTACTCTGGTGTAAAATCACATCGTCTCCCTCCAAGTCTTTGTCAGATTCAGGTTCACCAGCTGCCCAGTGTGAGCAGAGACAGACGCCAAATTGCTTTTCAAACCAATACTCAACTTGAAATAAAGGTCATGTCTCCCCGGTGTCTCTCTATAACCCCCGGCCCTCCCTCCACGACTCGTTACACTTTACTCACTCTCTCGGGGAGATGGGCGGAGTTAGCTGACGTCATGTGAACCCGAAACACGCTGTATCGTTACCATGTCAAAACGACTCAACTACCATGACACTACTGAGAGGATCAGCAGGAGGAGAGCCTGTTAGGGTAGCTGTTAGCTGTTAGCAGTTAGCAGCTAGTTACCGTCACCTCTAAGCAGCTGGGGGACACAACCAACAGCTCACAGAGGTTGTCTATTTATATTATGAGGCGTTCAGGCTCTGATCAGTAAAAATGAGCATCGTGCAAAGGTAAATTATAACGTTCATACGATGTGTTCAGTGTAATCCTGTAAAATGTAGCTTTCGGTGAGAAACTTGAATAAATCAGCTGTTTGAAGGAGAAATGTGTCGATGTGTTCTGATATTTAGATTTTTTTTCCTTCCCCCATTAGTGGCGCCCCCTGTAGACAATGGCACCTGTGCTGACTTGGGCCGGCCTTGTCTGCGGCCCCTGACTCAACAACTGAGACTGTGTATTCGTTAGTGTGTTCGTTAGAAGATGGACACAAACCCCTTTGACGCCCTTCAGGTCGCCCTTCAGCAGACTGTCCAGAGGAAACGTGATGATGTTGTTCATGTTCTGCATCTGCAAACAGGAAGTGATGTTAGAGCATCTTCTCTCACAGTCACAGAGGAAAACTGTGTGTTTTTATTTTACTCTGAACTCACCAGGTTCTTGAAGAGCGCTGTCAGCTCTTTGGTGAAAACGGCGAACTTGAGGAAGGCGGAGCCGACCTCAGCGTCCTCCCTGCAGACACAGTTGTCTCCGAACTTCTCCAAGGACTGAATGTACTGCTCCTCATTCTCCACGTGAGCTGAAACACACAGGAAACACACTGAATATTAGGTACAGCAAACAGTGACGCTCCCAGATTTCTTTTTAGAGGTGGTCACATGGAGCCACTGAAAGGCATCGCTGAATTTAAAGGACTTGTGTTGAGCTGATGACGTAAACAGGTGAGTTGAAAACTACGTCAGATGTTCAGCGACTTATTGTTCTTCAAACAGGCTGGTTATCCTTTTCCTTAAAAAGACAAATTTACAGCTTTAATCTGAAGGAGGTCATACAAGGAATAAAACATTTACTGGGAGCAAGCCGTCTCAAGTTTAACCCTTAGAGACCCACTATAGACCATTTATAGACCAGTTATAGACCTGGCCCAGGTGTTCAGGTGTTATCTGATCAGATTTCAGATATCTGAGTGGATCAAAGAAAAAAAGGATTCCGAAATCGTCATGTAATGTGATCCTGACTTTGATCCAAATTTATTAAACTTTTGTTAAACAAAGTGGAGAATCGTCCTGTGAAGGAATCTGTTGGCCGTCATTTGAGCCTGTTTGCTCTGCTCTCCCTTTATTATATTATATTATAATCGGTGCTTAATTTGAGCCGGAACGTACTGGAACGCACCAGGATCTTTTCAGAAAAGGCCCTGGTGCGTTCCGGAACTAATTTGCATGGGTCTAGAACTTTTCACATCTAAAAACTACATACAGTATTGGCTGACGTCACTAGTGTTGCAGGGTGGAGTACCGTAGTACTACGGTGCCTCACGTACCACTACTGTGGGATAAGTTCAAAGTCCAATCACAAGAGGGTGAGTGTTCATGCTCCGTCCAATAACGGCGCACGCTGGTCAATAACAGCGCGCGCTGGCCACCTGGCACTCAGTATGCTGCTGTAGTGGTTTGTTTTCCAGACATGTGAGTATCTTTGAGTAGTGAAAGTTATTATTTATTTCTTTTTGCTTGTCGGCAGTGATTTGTTTTCCACAGAGCTCTACGTGCGAGCATTTTACTCGCATTTTTGCGACTAAAAATAGTTTTGTTCGAGCAAAATAAATCATTCAGCATGCTGTGCAAGTACAGATTTCAACCAGCAGCAGAAACGAAAGGCGAATCCTGCCGGTTGTGGGTTGAACGGGGGTCACAGACAGGATACCGCATTCAAATATGGCGGCCATAGTGCTCCGCGCCGCAACATAACGGCTTACTGGCGACAGAGAAGTCCGACTCCAGGTCCAGTAGCCTAATTTCCTCTTTCGTTGGTGTCATGACTACCTGGACAACCGAGCCGTGGCAGCACACAGGTATGTGGCGTGTCAGAGGAGAAACGAGCCGTTCACATTTCTCTCTTTGTGGCAGGTAACGGTCCATAAGCCTCACCGCACTTTAGGGACTGTTCTTTACTTGTCAGGGGAGGAGGGTGGCTGGTTGATTTTTATTTCATTTATTTATTTTATTTTGATCCCCCCTATGTTAATCACTCATTGATGCTGTTTTTGAAGTATGAATAAGTCAATAAGTAATTTATTCCATTGAAATATCATTGATGTATTATAGAAAAGTGATTTATCTTTTTATAAATGACAAAAGGCACATCTGCCTCATTTTTGCTGTGGTATCGTGATACTACTCAGAACCGTGATACTTTCACTGGTATCGTACAGTGGGTCCCAATTTTGGTACAACACTAGATGTCACAACCATTCCATTCGGAGTTGCGCAGTGAGGCGGCTCGGGTGCCGCTTAAAAAAGAGTTGCCCCACTTTTGGGAGTGGGGGAACACTGCTCTCTCAGAGGCCCAAATTGTTCCCCTCCTACTAATTTTACAAATTAAACACGGATTATAATATATTATATTACATTAATATCAACATCATTTGATAGAAGGGCTTTTCTAGGACCACAGAGAGGTTCAGGAGGTGGTGCTATATTTTATTTTATTTCATTTTATATATTTATTCTATATTATAGAATTTATATAGTTTTTTGGTGAATTATTAATTTAATGTTCAGACTTGTTTGTTCGAGAAATGAAATGTTTTATTCTGTCGACAGAATTTATTTCAGTTTTATTTTATCTAAAAAAAAATTTTAAATTAATTTAAAACTCTGCAGTTTGGTTGTGTTTCTGTTTCTGAGTCAGCAGACGGACGGAAAAGTCGTGGAGGCGGGCGTCTCTCCCTCAGCATGCTGGGACTGGACGGCAGTATGACAGGAATGTTTAGAGGTGAGACTCCACCTGTCTGAACACAGACCCACCACACTCACACCGACGAACTGAATGTACCTCTTCCCCCAGCACATCAGTCTCCAGGACGTCTCCAGGACGTTTTCAGTGACCTGACTTTTATTTATTTTATTTTTTTTGTCTCAGCAGCGTCAGCGCCCGTTTGTCAGGCCAAAGTTAAACTGTGACACAAGTTGTGATGTTTCCTCACAGCTCATCTTCATCATCAACACAACAGGAAGTAGTTTAAATATTCATCAAATAAAAGGAAGATAGTACAATATTTTTATAACGTCCATCTGTCAGTGTTCAACTGTAACTGTTGATTTGTTAGCTAACTATTTTCACTCCCCTTTGTTTACAGGCCTAATTACTGTACACTTTACTTTTTTTTTTTTTAACTTACCCCTATTTATCTTCATCTATTGTATCTGCTTACATCTCTGTAGATATAACAGAGCTGCACGATAACAGATTTTCACTTCACAATTTTCACGGCCAAAAGATTTCAATATAACAATAATGATATCATCACAATATCTGGGAGAAAAAAGTTATCGATAGGGCTGTCAAAATAACCTGTTAATATCAGTAATTAATCACAAAAAAATAGCATGTAAAAAAATGAACACTGATTAATGATGCTCCGTGGTGCCCTTTGACCCCGTGGGTCACTGAAGGCCACAGTGTCTTTGTCACATGATAGAGGCAGACGAGACGACGCAGCTCGGCCCCGTGAGTGGAACACTTACATTGATAGGAGCAGCGTTCTCTGCAGTTTCTGTTCTAACCATCGGAGCACTTCAGCCTGAAATATCACCTCAACACAAAGAGGTCCGAGCTAGCACCGCCTCTGATGCTAACGCTAGCAGTCAGCCTCATCAAGCCACACTGGACCAGGTGTTCAGACGTAGACTTAGGGTGTTTTCACATGTCGTCCTTTTTAAACAAACCAAATTCAGTCCTCTGAAAGTGCACCAAGAAGTGGACCAACAGAAAAGGCACTCAGTTCTCTTTCTGTTCACACTATCTACAATACTGACATAATTTTGGTTTTACTTTGATGTGGCGCTGCAGTGTGGTTATGAAGCCCCTCGCTTTCAGATGAACTTAAAACTGGATGAAAACCTCAGCGTGTTTCTGTTTGATGTTTTCTATGTTACACATCTGGAGATGTGCAGAATCTTCTGTGGACCAAACTACTCCTCATCCTGTGTACTTGCAAGCGTTACAGGTCGACGTGGTTTCATCTGTTTTTTTTAAGTGTCCCAGGTCAACAGCATGTGATCCAGAGGGCTGAATACAACGGCAGAGTGCAAAGTGAACCTGGAACGCTTTGTGTTTACAGGTCACAGGTTCAGTGAACCGCACTAAGGACTTAAAGTGAACAGAATTCAGACCAGGTCTAACATGTGGCGCAGTGTGCCCTGAGAGGGTTGTGAGTCTGGAGTCAGTTGCGGTGCAGTGTTTGGTTGCAGTGCCCTAAAGAGGTGTAACTCCTCTGTGGTGATCGATATTGGTGTGAGCCACCCACACACGTCTCAGTTGGTGTGAGCAGCACTTAGGCCTCAGACTGTCTCTGCATACCTGTGTGCAAGGCTGCTGGCCTTATGTGAATTTGTCCTAACAAAGATTATTGTTTATTGCAATACTGTCACAGCAAAAACTGATGTATGCAAAACTGTGTCAACTGTGCAAAAAATAAAATCTAATTTTCATGTTTTTTGTCATTTATTTATTTTTCTTATTTCTATTTGGAATCAACATGTTCTGAATTTAGGGACCACAGTTCCCATCATACTGTGGGTGATGTCAGCAGAGAGTCTAATGTTTCAATCATGATCATGAGGTGAGACCTGAAGTTATGATGAAACATATAATATTACATTAATGGACAGTTTGTGTCTGAGTGGGCAGGAAGTGGCAGACACAGCGAGTCTCTGTTGGTATTTTTGGTCAGACGGATTTGAAACTGTGTTACTCACCCAGACCTGACGTGTTGATGGCCTTCACCGACTTCTTGATCTTATAGAGGACCGATCTGTCCAAGTCCAGAACCTGAGGGAGGACAAACAGAGTCAGGACCACACAGAGACCAGACGCTGCAGCCGGAAAACCCCCGAAGAACGTTTACAGCTCGACACAGTTTCTGTTCGTCTCGTTTCTAACTCTGATCCTGCAGAGTGTCTGTGTCTCTGTGCAGGGCTGAACACACGTTATTTCTAATGCTGCTGCAGGTTTTAAGGTGAAATGTAAAGAATAACACCTGAGATTTTACACAACATTCACACTCATCCTTACATACATACATACAGTGGCCGAAAGGGATATACGCGCTTCGCATTTGCGTTTACCTAGAACTTGCCGTCACTGGAGACGGTTAAGGTGAAGATCAATCCGGGGCGCTTCTGCGTGAACCTGCTTCGTACTTTTATGATTCTGTCGCACTTTAAATGGAGGACCACACATATGTTTTGCCCCGTAAGAGGGAAACCACGCTACCAAATAAAAGAAAAAGATCAGATAAGCGAGGACAGGACAAAACGCGAGTGAATATCGGCGCTGCTTATTCCAGGTGGAAAGAATTCCTGAAGGAGAAGGATATCACAAGGGATGCGGAGGTTGCCTGCTTTCTGCTAGACAGGTAATTCAATCTGATATTTTAAAATAGTTTTGGCTTCATGTTTGCAACTACTTTTCCCTCTCGTCTAAGTTTTAGTGATGGCTACGTTTACGTGCTAACGTTATCCTAGCCTTGGCTAACGTTATCCCAGAGCTACAGCTAAATGGTTAGCCTAGCCTACAGCCTAATCTGTTGATTCCTCTCGCGCTGCTGCAAAGGCTTCCACCCTCTCCTCCTCCTCCTCCTCCTCCCTGTGGGTAGCCGAGACACACCTCTTCGCCTGGCCGTTCCTGCACCGCCTCTACCCCCTCGCCCCCTTCCTCTCCCTCTCTCTCTTCCTCATCTCCCTGTGTCCTGTGGAAGAACACTCTGGAGACACATATATTATAATCGTACCAACCTATATTTGCCGCACTGTGCCGTGACTATCACATAAAATGTGTTATTTTAGCATTACTGTGCTAATGTTTGCTCGTGTTACCAAAACAATTAGAAATAAAACACTCCTAACAAATATCTCACAGATAACCTATATCTCACTGGTAAGCTATAACATATCGTAACATGGTTTAGATTCCTAAATAAATATTCACCTCGTCGCTAGATACTCCTAAAAAACTCGAAAAACTCTGTTGTCTGCGCAAGGCTTTTTGTCCTACGAGGCCACCGTCACTTACCCGACGGGAGTGAAAAATAAAATGTCTCCTCACTTTTGATTCTGTGATGTCATTATGCTGTGTGACATCACAAACTGGAGCCACATGATGCCGGCGTCATTTGGTTCTGTGTAAAAATACAAATGCGGTGTAAAGAAGGGACGTCGTAGCGGCTCTGTGTGTACGAAGGTCTTAAGAATGGAGGATAACACCCATGAAGACCTTACAGTCTGCACATCAAACCAACGATGACGTACATCACTGCGAACTCAGCATTACTGTGTCATAAGAACACTAATCAAACTACAGTTCCCATGAGCCTCAGCGGCCGCAGACTCTGTCTGAGCAGACAGAAACAACACGCTGGAACACAGCAGCTGAATTCATCAAGTTCTATAAAACTCATCGAGGGACCTGTTTCAAGTCACCTGGCGGGAAACAGGAACACTGACTCCTGACACACATGACGCCTCGCCCACTTCACCCTGCACGCTGTCAGCAGGTTCAGCTCCGCCCACTTCCCTCTACACACTCCGCAGTGGAGTCAGCTGAGTGTCAGCTCAGTGTGAGTGTGAAACACGCAGACGCTCAGTTACTGTTTGACTCAAAGGGAACAAACACACACTGAGTTCCTTTAATCATGTGATGCTCAGTCTGAAAACAGTCTGAAGTCACAGCAGTTATTTAAACGTAGAGTCGACCAACAAATAAAAAACATGATGCAGGTTTTTAATGTTTCTGTCTCAGAGCTGAACACAAGAAGAAAAAGATTTATAACCACTCTCAGAGGATGGAATTATAAAGTATAACTTACCACACACTTTGTGGATAAAAGAGACTCTCAGTCATTTACAGCCTGAGACAATCTGATATACACCGAGAGGCTCTCCCAGGAAATTTAAAAAGACATGGGGGCTGTTCTTTGCCTATGTGAAGAAAACTTTTCCCGCTGTCCCTGAATAATGACCCACTGAATCTGCTCTATTTTTGTTTCCATATCTTTATTCTTACTCCGACTGTAAGAGCAAGTTTATTGTTTACTGCAATAAGTGAAATATGACCCAGCTGAATGTTTGTTTTTCTTCTTTGTAGGTTCTACATATTGTATGTTTTCTGTTTGTTTTTTCTAACAAATGTTTTAAACTGAGCAATAAAGCTGAAAAATGTCCAGAAATATGCCAAAAGAAGACGTTCCTGCACGGAGAAAACAAGTCATGTGTGAAACCCACCGCACTTTTTGGACAATTGCACGTTGTGTCGTCATGTCCGGCGGCACGTGAGGAGTGTTTGACTGTTGAGAACACCAAACTACTAAGATATTATGGTTAAAAGCAAGTTTTACTGCGATTTTTTTTTGAATGAACTGTTCCTGTAACCTCTTCGGACAATGAAGAGGCTGGATTGAAATTAGGGTAATTCTGAAGTTTGATGTCCCCGATAAAGACCAGAAAGAAAAAGCAGACGCCAAACTCCTCACCACTTGTTTCACCTGGCTCACCTGCTTCACCTGTGGGAGACGAAATGGAGAAGAAAGAGATTGCCGCTATGGTCTGCTCTATTATGTGAGAGGAGCTGAAAGAAATAATGAATATACTGCAGCTGCAGCTGGACGCCTTAAAAAAAGATGTAAAGCAGTGTAAAGATGAAGTAATTGGTATAGAGCAGTCGCTGTCTGGAGCGCTTGACCAAGTGAATGGGCTGGAGAAGGTGTGTGGGGCGTTACAGAAAGAATGCGGTGAGAAAATAAAGAACTAAGGGAGAAAACTGAAAAGTTGGAGAGCTACAACCAAAGATTGAACATAAGAGTCTTCGGCCTAAACAAGAATGTGTCAGAGGATAATCCAACGGAATACATGTCTGCGCTCCTGAAGGAGATCTTTCAAGGGAATAAACAGCTGCCGTGCCAACTTGATGTGGAGATGGCGCACAGAGTTGGCCCGGCTACCGGTAAAGGATCTGGTCCTAGGCCCATGATTGTGAGATTACAGAAGTATCAAGCCAAGGAAGCTATCATACAAATTGCAAAGAATGATAAAGTGTTGGTCCAATGCATCACTAGGAAATATCAGAAAACTGCAACTAGTTCAAAATAAAGCAGCATGTGTTGCTCTTTCCTGTGGGTTCAGCACAAATGTCATAAAAATGCACGAGTGTCTGTCTTGGCTTGATGTAAAAAATGCATTATTGTATTTGTTGATAGTTTTTATAGGAAATGTAATCACAACTAAGATTCCACTTATTTTCTACAAAAAAGTTATCCTTTAGTTCAGAAACACACAGTTATTCAACGAGGTATGATGGTCGTGGTTGTTTTACCTTACCCAAATCAAAGACATCTGTACAACGTACAGTAATGTATAGAGCTATGAAGGAGGAGGAATTCACTCACAATTTCCATAACAAAACAGGAAAATATTTATAGCTTTAAAATTAAACTTAAAGAATATTATTTAACAAAGAACTTTAGTAACTGATTTTTTTTCCGATTGTGCTGATTGTTTTGAATAGATGATATGAAACGTTTTTGTTGTTAGTGTATGATAACTGATATGGTCTCTGTATGCATATCTGCTTGTAGACATGGAGGTGAATTCGAAATGTTCCTATCAAAGGATTAGTATTTCTCATTAAGGGTCAGGGTATTTTGTGGTGTGACGACAACATTCACTGGATGTCAAGATTCAGTATTGGAGCTTGTGTTTTTGTATTATTTTGTTGTGTTTTTGTTTAGATGTGTGTACTGTCTTGTTGTTGTTTTTGTGATATGTGTGTGTGCTTTGTATTGTCGCATGAAGAATTATGAAAACCACAGGAAGAATAGCTTCTGCTATGCAAAAGCTAATGGGGATCTTAATAAAACAAACAAACAGAGATTTAAAAGTTAGCTGCTAGCAGTTAGCAGCTAACTCAAACAGTGAGGTCCAGGAGCTCCTTACCCTCCGAGCAGAGGATGAGATCAGCCGCCATATAACAGGGACGCTAAATAATTGTTACTGACATGTGATGTCATTGTTATTGTTTATAAAGAGCTGCTGACACGTATGTTATATGTCACACTAGAGGCCGACGCTGTTGTATTACATGTCACACCTCTTTTGATTCTGTGATGTCATCATGCTGTCTGATGTCATACTGCAGTGACATGATGCTGCTGTTGTTTGATTCTGTGTAAACATGTAAAAAAGGAACTCCATAACAGCTCTATAGCACCATCAGCACATCAAACTGATAATAATGTACATCTGTGAACTCAGCATTACTGTGTCATAAGAACACTAATCATACTACAGTTCCCATGAGCCTCAGCGGCTGCAAAGTTAAAGACTGTTTGCTTGTTGGTTTTCTTTGGTACTGCACTGCCATTACATCACACCGTCATTCACAGGTGCTCTAACACTACTGTCAGTTTGTGTGTAAACAAATAAATAAACAAAGTTCATAAAAACTGTTTGTGTCTGTGCTGCAGCTGCAGATAAACTACAGGACGTAACTTCCTGTTGCTGAGCTGCATCTGCTCTACTGATTCTAATTTAAACATTCAGTCAGTCAGTAGAGTCGAGTGATGTTATCTAGTTTCTGTTTCGATCGCTGTAGATAATCTGTTATATAAATACAGTCACGCATCATCAGACAGAACGAACACATGTTACTGTCAGAAATAACCAACAGAGCTGCAGCGTAACACGGTGTGTGTCAGCCCGAGAGAGAACACTCATGATATTAATAAACTATCAGGATACTTTTAATAGAACAGATTTATTTAAGTGGTGTGCTTTAAAGAGTAATTTGAATAAATTTAAGTCATATTTCAAGTATGTTTTTCTTAATGTGTTTTATCAATGACTTTTTCCCATGATGAAAATGAGATGATGACAAGCTAAAAATAGGTCTTGATGATATAAACTATGACGAAATCTGTGTCATTTTCATTGACAAGACGTGATGTGTGAATGTTCCTGGTGGACTGTCGGACACTGAAAGCCGAGAACTACCGTGCTCGTAATTCTCTTCAGATGCCTGATGAGCGACAGGCTGGTGAACTCCACTAAATAGTCTGCACCAGGATGTTTGGGTTGGTGCGCGTTGTGAGCTGTAATTCAGCAGTAAATAATCAGCCGTGTGTGTCTGACTGTGGATGGTGGAGCTGCTGAATGGATTTGTGGAGTCTGTTAGTGTTTTTGTTGCTCCTTTTTAAGAACCATACGACCCCTTCAAAGTTTTTAGAAAACAATTTCGGGGCCCTGAAACCTCCTGAAAAACAGTCAAGAGTTCTCAACTTCCTCAGTGACACCTAAAAACTCCCAGCCTGGTTCCAGATCTCTTAATCACTCCAGAAAAATCATGAAATGTAAAACAGCACCCGAAAATCTGACAGTTTGTGGACTAAATGATTTCTAATCATTAACAGAAATAAATATTACGGTGCTGAGTTTACTGCAGGTCACACAGAGGGTGTTGACAGGGCATGCTCCTAATAAATCTCTCTCATTTCTATGTACAGGATCTGAGGAAGATCTCGCACATGGCAACATCGCCTTAAAGGAGAGCGAAGTTATTCAGAGCCCACAGTGTGCAGAGTTTCTTTGTTATTCTTTGTTTTGCACCTGAGTATTATCACCTGGATGTGAACACACAGAGCTGAGTTTAAACAGGTTTCCTCAGAAAATAAAAATCTAACCTGTTTAAATGCAGCAGCAGAGATCAGACACACAAGCTCATCTGTTTACAGTCGTTACATTAACGTCTGATAATGAACAAGCTGATGATTAACGGCAGCTTTAACTCGTCTCAGACTGACTTCAGACAGACGTGTTGGGACACGACTCTGAAGCACAGAGGAGCTTTAAAACTGAACAGAGGAGGACGAGGAGACGGAAAGACAGAATGAAAGAACGAGTGGAAAGACAATAAAGAAAAAGAGATGAAGCAGAAAGAGGACAGAATTCATCAGAGACACTACAACGGGCCTCAGAGGGAGAGAAAGGACGAGACAGGTCTGGGTTGGACTTAATTAGACCGATGAGACGCGTCTCGTTTTGACCCAATCAGATGAGGTGAGACAGATCTTGCTTGGACTCAATCAGATGGGGTGAGACAGGTCTCGCAGTGAGGATTCATGTTACAGATCAGTGAATTCTGACGCTGTTTGTTGCTGAGGTGCTGCTGACTACAAAAACATGAATGTCTCTACCTAAAGTCAGTGTTTGGTTTGTCCATTCTGGGCTACTGTAGAAACATGGCGGTGCAACATGGTGATCTCTGTAGATGAAGACCTGCTCCCCAAGTTTACAGTTGGTAAACAATAGAGGAGAAACTGGTGGTAGCGGTTGCTGGATACCCAGAGCTATACGGCCTGACAATAGACAGCAGGTTGTCAAACTGCCCCTGAGTCGTCCTAAAATATGCCTGGAAACGTCCATCATGGAGAAGAAGCTCCTGGACCAACTGGTGGTACTCCCCATGATCCAGCCTCTTTTTTAGGGTCTCATGTACCCACACAGATCTCTGCTTATCTGCTGACAGCCTCTCACCCTCAACCAGAGCTACAGACAGTACCCTCTGCCTCAACATGTTAGGAACTACACGCTGATTACTGGAGAATAAATAAATGGTATATTGATTACATGGGAAGGTTGGGAGGTGATGGGGTGATGGGGTGGTTGCTTGGCAAAAATAAAAAGGCACAGCAGAAGGTTTTTGAAGGTAATGTGGCATTCTGTTTAAAAATGCAGTGTTTTGCAGATTGAGAGACCTCTGTGGATAATTCAGCTCCCGAACAATGCACACTGAAGGAATTCTAACCAGGAGAAGTTTCAGCTGGTTGTAATCTGTAATTCTCACCAGTAGATGCCACGACAAACCTTGAAAGGAGCAAGAAATTTATCAAGTTGAAGCAGTTAAAAATGAAAACATTTAAAGACCAGCAGGAAACCTGCAGCCAGATGAACGAGGATGAATCTGCAGATTAAAATATATCAAGTTAAAGCAGAAGTACCAGTAGCAGTAACACTACCTACACAGACATAGTAGGAGTATCTCAGTCTTAACTTCACTAGCTGCATCTCTTTATACTTTAACTTCTAACTACTGGTTCCCTAATGTATCAGTTGGGTTAAGAAAGCTGCTCGATCATCATGACTGTGTTGCAAAACAAAGAAGCAGATCTGAACTATTACAAAATGTTCATAAGATTCAACGGTGAGCTGCTGTTTCACCATGAGGAAGTGTTTCTCTCTGTTCCTCTTTTCACTGAAAAACACACTTTTACTGCAAACTGGAAATGTGAGGACACACTGAGGCAAGCTTATCTTCATTTATACTCACAGAAACACACTGTACCTTCAGTTATACTCACAGAAACACACTTATCTTCATTTATACTCACAGAAACACACTTATCTTCAGTCATACTCACAGAAACACACTGCGCCTTCATTTATACTCACAGAAACACACTGTACCTTCATTTATACTCACAGAAACACACTCTAGTCTCAGTTACACTCACAGAAACACACTTTAAATTCATTTTGTCTGTCTGCAAAGACCAAATCTGCAGCCTGAGACAAACATCATCATGACTTAAATTCAGAGTTTTCATTATAAGTTGGTGATAAACAGGTTTGAGTAAGAATGGGAAGAAATAATAATAATAAGAATTTTCTGGGTGTTTATTTATGGTTATATTACAGATTTCTTTATGGTACTCAGTGGGTTTAAACACTGTAATTAACTCAACATAAGTGATATATTCATATCAGTTTATTTCCCTGTGTGCGTGTGCGTGAGTGTGTATGTTGTCCTCTTACCTCCTCCAAAGCCGCCACTGCGTTCCTGCAGTGGGACATCCTGGTGGTGAAGCTGGAGGTGGTGGGAGCTTTGTAGTCCTCATTAGTCTCTGCTATAAACTCATTCACACTGATCAGTTCCGGCATCGTGAGCTCCGACACCTCAAACTGTCCTGATGCACAGAACTTTAAATAATCCGCAGGTACAATGAGAGAAACGCGAAGGCTCAGGTGAGAGCAGCCACACCTGGACTGACTTCAACTGATCCCAACTGTCAGAAACATCCAGCAAAGATCCTCTCCTGACTCCGCTTCTCACTCCTCCTCATATCTGAAGGCTTGAATCAGACATTTATTAATCTCCGGGTGAAGCTGTGAGGTTTTATTCCCATGATTTGTCCCGCTGAGGTGAGGCCCGGAGCACACCGACGGTCCCGTCACATTCCTCCGTCCTGCTGCTGCTGGAACCACCTGAGGAAACCGCACCGAGGGGGCGGAGCCACCGGGCGGAGGGGCGGAAGGAGCGGAGGGAGGTGTCACTCTGCTGCTGTTTCCACAGACCACAGTCACAGAGTCATTACACAGTATAGGAAGTTCCTTTTTCTTTCAAAACAAAACATTTCCTTCGTCAGCAACGGTGAAAAGTATCATTTAAAGTACATTTACTCCAATACTGCACCGTATTTACCCCGTTTCAAGTATTATATTGAAAACATGTAGAATATACTCAAAGATGCAGCAACATCATTTTTTAATGTAATGTCAGCTTAGTTAATATGAAAGAAAAAAATAAAGGTATAAAAATAAATAAATAAACCTCTGACACAAATAAATATGACTATAAAATAGCTCCTGATATAAATAAACAAGGCAATAAACACGTAAATCAAAAATCTTCTGAAATATATGAATATATTTATTGTCTCATTTATTCATTTAATTTATTTCAAGATATATTATATAGCCATTTATTTATTTAATGGGTGAAATAAATAAATAAATGAATATTCTTCGCACCTAATATATTTATTGCCTAACTTATTTATTCAAAGAGATATTTTATAGCCATATTTATATCATAGGCAACTTAAAATAATAAACAATTAAATAAATAGATAAATAAACGAATATACCTCTGATATACATGAATATGGCTATAAAATAAATCCTATTTATTGCCTCATTTATTTATTTCAAGATATATTTTATAGCAATATTTATTTATTTCATGGGCAACTTAAGCAAACAAACAAACAAATATACCTATGAAATATATGTACAGTAAAAAAGAAAATTCAGAAAATGGAAATACTAAGGTAGAGTACCTTTACTTTGTACTTTAAAGTACTTAGGTACATTTACTCAGTTACCACCATTGTGTGTACTTCACTGTTGATCAACTAGTTGACTGTTCCAGCTCCACAGAGACATCTCATCACAGCTGTTTATTTTTCACAGGTGAGTGATCCATCTTCTGTAACACAGAAAATCTTCGACAGCTGCTTGGCGGTGTGGGGGCGGGGCTAACTGTTGCAACACACCTGGGTGTTGGACCTCCGATAATGATCATCTCATTATTACTGTTTTTGAAATTCAACTCTCAGGTCAACTGTTCTTTGCAGTAGTGTGCTGGTGGGGTGGAATTAAGATTGATGAGGTCAACAGGCTCAACAAGCTTGTGAGGAAAGCCCACTCTGTGGTGAGACTAGATCTGGACAGTCTGGAGACCGTGGCTGATGGGCAGCTCATTCAGCCAGCGGATCATCCCACCCAGGTGCATGACTGAACAATTTAGACGCTCCTTACATGTGTAATTACAGAATACACATGTCAGTCATGCCTAAAGAAAATGAATATATAATATTTAAAATCTTATACACACACACACACACACACACACACACATACATGTACAACATGTGATTACTTACTGTATTACAAAGAGTTTTAAACAAACAGTGAGACACCAGGGCAGCAGTCAGCAACCTTTACTATCAAAATATTTATTTCTCAGCCCAAATGTAAGAATTTCTTTTGGCCTACAACAAATATAAATGATAAAAATTAAAATATGAAAAACAACAACAACAACAAAGCAAAGAGCCACATGTGGCTCTGGGGCCAATCAACTGCTCTAAGAGAAATAAATAATTAATCTTATCTGACATTACCGTCCATTACAGGAAAGAATGATGTAATGATTAATTCCTTTGACTGAAACTTTTGTTTGTTTGTTTACCTCAGGTGGGTGCTTCCTGATTCTACTGAATTCACTACTGAGTTTTACACAAACTTCCATATATCAGCATGATCCATTAATCCTGATTATAATCATATATAAATACAAACAAAACATCCTGAAAGCTCAAAGTTCATCAACAGTTATGATTCACAACATCGTTCAGTGTTAAATCAGATTCTTCATTATGTGACATTCAGAGCTGCTGACAGTAAAACAGACGGTTAAATACTTCCATTAATCTGATCAAATATTAAATCCTAGATGGTGATAGTGTTGCAGAATGTAATAACTATGAATTTTAGTGATGAACCCGTTTTATATTGTACAAATATCAAAGTTAGTCCATTCTTTAGAAAAACATGTGCTGAGTAATATGAGCTGGATAACATCACTTTAATTCAGACACCACAGAGTCAACTCATGAAGACTCATAATGTATGATTGAGACTTTGTTCCCAATAAGGAGACAGCATATGTGACTGCATGTGACCCCCTAGAGACAAAGCGCCACACCCAGCATCTTTTTTCAGAGCCCATTTTTGGGAGCAGATCTGCCAGCAGACACCACAGATATTGCTGGTAAGTGTGGTGCTCTTATCACCATACACATTGCAAGCTTGTTGTTATCTGTGAGGTCAATTCTCTGTTAATGTAGCGTTACACTGGGGTCCCCAATGGCTCACCTGGTGGAGCAGGCGCCCCATGTACGGGGGCTGTGTCCTTGCTGCAGCTGCCGCAAATTTGGTTCTGGCCCGTGGCCCTTTGCTGCGTGTCTGATTGTGTTGTTAATGTGCTAACTGGCTAACTCACATCAAGACACTCTTCCTTTTTCCCTTTTGGAGTGATGAATACAGACAACTGCCTTCTGCTGCTGTGGAGAGTTATTTCCTCTCAGTGGAAGCAGAACAGACATGCTGGCTGGCCGTCAGTTGTCGTCTTTGTGGTGTGTTCATGAGTAACTTTTTGGCCGAGACATGGCATCATCAGGCGACGCAGCAGGGGTCTTCATCACCGCCAGTTCTCTGAGGTCGGTTTGGTGTGTCTGGACCTTTAGACTGTTCACATGAGGCATCAGAATGCATCTCGAGTGACGCACTGATCGGACATATTGAACAAGCAGCTTCTCCTAATGTCAGAGGGAATCAGAAATGGAGGACAAACTCATTGTGGCCATCTGTGGGCATCCGGAGCTCTGTGACTACAAGTCAGTCCTGTACAGAGACAGAACGACGAAGGAGAGGGCTTGATGCAAAGCAAAGTCATGACTACATGGTAAGTTCTAAAAATAAGTACTGGTTACTTGATTCCAGGTATCTGTTGTACTTTACTATGAACCAAGTTAGCACTTATATCAATCAGTTATTTATTATCACATGGAATATACAACGTATAACTGCAGCAAAATGTGATCCATCAGCTCCTTTGACCTTCACTGTAATTTAGTCATTTTTTTCTTCAATTTTTGGCTGCTGCTTTATAATTGCACATTTCTAGGTGGTTCTGGTGATCCATGGTTTCTGGTTGTGGAATGATTTAACTGTTCGCACATCTTGACCTCACCAAGGCCGCCATATGGTCGCTCCTTCTGAACACAGGCAACGCCGCTCTGCAGCTGCCTCTGAACGGTGTACAGCAGTGACCCACAGCAGGAACAGGACAGCAGCTCACATTCCCACCATCACACCAGTCCTTTTTCACCGCAAAGCCATGCCTCCCGTTTCTTTTCTCCCAGAGTCCTCCGTTCTGTCAGATCAGCAAATAAAAAGAGAGTCACCTAGTTGAATGGTGCTGTCCAGGATTAATCATGTTTCAGTGAATCAAAGGATGTTACAGTTCCTGATATCCTGTTGGAAGCTGATGGAAGTCATTCAGTTTATTTCGTAACACCTGTACAATAGCTCACAGGATGCTAGTTCCACTGGTGCTCATTCTTCTCCATCGTTTTTCAATGTTTACTGATGTTTATGTTTTAAAACCAAAAAGTGAGCTGGAAGTCTGCAGGAAGAGACTTCACAGCCTGGTGAGTTGATGTCCTCATCCTGATTAGCAACTCGCAGCCACACGCCACCACTGTCCAACACCAACCACAAAAAGCTCCACCAACACTTGAAAAATGGACTCCAGAGCCTAAATTAGTGCAAATTTAGCTGAGCTCGCAGAGCGGCGACTGGAATCGTCCACACCTCTCTCTTTCTCTAAGTTGTAATATTAGCTTTGGCTACAAACACCCCAGCAGCCATATTCACATGAATTTTTATTCATGATATTCACGTTTAAACACACCTTAAGGATTTTACTATTAGTGTGTTCTACTGCTGGCATCACTGAGATCACAACAGCCAAGTTGTGATGATAAAACCATGTTATCCAATCAGTTTTACAAAGAAACATTTTCGTTTACAACAAAAATTGATCTTAAAGTGATTCTGTAAGTATACCAATGTTATCAGTGTAAGTTGTTTGTATGTGACAGTGCACACTATGGACAGTGATTTCAGCAGCTGTCCTCAGTCAATATTGTGTGTTTTCATACACAGGACAGATTCTTCTTCCTACAGTGAACACAGAGTCACTGAGGAACCAAGCAACGCCTCAGACTTAAACCCAAACCTAAACCCAGTATAAAGAGGTTCAATGAAGGTGGTGTTGAAGGTGTGGAGGTGGATCAGTGAGCCAGAGGAGACTCTGTAGAAGGACAGAGTGCCGGCAGGACAGTCCACATACACTGCTACTCTACCAGAGGAGGAGGAGGAGGAAGGGGAAGGGGGGAATGCGTTTCTCTTATTGTGCCAAACAGAGTAACAATCCTTGGTGCATTTCAGACTCCAGGACTGATTATTTCCTCCAACTGAGCTTTCACCACTGTCTGCACTCCTTCCAGTTTCTCTGTAAGTTACTGCAACATGAACTTTTCCTTTCCACTCCACCTCCCAGTAACAGCGACCAGTCAGAGCATTTCTGCACAGCAGCTGACAGTAGTCGAATCTGTCTGGATGATCAGGATACCGCTGCTCCTCTTTCACCAGCGTCACCTTCCTGTTGTTGTCGGACAGTTTGAGGTTTCTGTCGACTGTATCTGTGTCCAGTGTGAGTTCACAGAAATCTGATGGAGAGGAGACACAACACAGCAGCAGGTTATCAACTTTATGTTCATTTATATGTTAAGAACTTCAATTAAGTGTTAAGTCCGGTTCAGACCAAAGAGTGGCAAAGAGACA